ATGATTGAAACTCGCAATAAAAAATAATAATCAGAAAATAATCTTATAAAACATATTTGATTCTTCGATATTTTTGTTAATATGTTTATTCTTACTGCATAACCATTCCTGACAATAACTTAAAAAATAGATACAGCTAATTATAACGAATTAATTGATAGTCTCTGTTATAGCATAGTAGCATTTTTGATTTTTTTTTTGTTATATGCAATATCATTTTTATTTTTAAGGGAAACGATTAACTTTTTTCCTTTTTTAGTTGAAATAGCAGTAAATTATCCCCAATACATTTTCATCTTTTCACTGTATTCAGAATATTATCCAATAGTTACACAACTTGCAGAAACAATACTTGTCTGTAATCTGTGCCATTTTATGTCTATTATACCACATCACATCACTACTATTTTCATTTTTACTAAGTATTCTGAGAAAGAAAATTTTTTTGTTATGGAAATCCTAAACATTATACATATTGTTTGACCATTTTTGACATCTTTATGTCACCTGATTGATATAAAATAGCACTTATTAGAGGGAGGAGGAAAACTGGTTCAGCTGATTAGATCATGCAGATTAGTATGATCCTTTGTACTGATAATATTATTAAGACTTGTATAGTATAATCATATATTCAGATAAAGTACTATACTATACTGTACTGGTTCTATAAAAAGTATATATAAGACCAGTACAGTACAGTACAGTACTTTATATTATTGCACTATATTAATAATCTCAATGACATTAATAGTAATGCATTCTATACTAGGATCGTCAAAACATTCCTTAATAAAAAAATTTTTTTTTGAAGAAATAATAAGAAATACTTTAATAAAAATTAAATAAATTGAGGGAGAAAAATCAGTACGAATTGTCTGATCAGTACAGTATGATATGATTATAATTTGAAAATTCAGAGTGTATAGTAAAATAATACGGTATGATAGGATTCGATAGGTAAGATATGATTGATTATGTATAGGTACGATACTAATTATACTAATATGTTAATAATCACAACAAAAATCATTAATATTTTAATTCTTTAGCAATGTTGTCATGGGGACATGGCCTGGTATATTGGGACTTAATGTGAGATATTTTGGGACATATTGTAAGACAGTCTCAAAATGTTTGAAAAATTGAAAATGTACATCACTACTTTAGGTACTATTAATCATATGATTGTATGATATAAATCATACTGTTGTAGCCCAAACATCACCTTGTTCCAAGTTAAACTTGGGATATTCCAAATCGGAATTCCTATTTCGGACTTCCCAAACTGTAATTTTGATTTTAGATGATCTTGTCCCAAATCTAACTTGGGATATCCCAAATTGAATCTGGGATATGGTTAAGTTTAGGACATTTAATACCCCAAACCTGACCATATCCCAAATCAATTTAGAACATAGTCGAGTTTGGGACATACAAGACCAAACCAGAACTTGTTTCAAATTTATTTAGGTCAATTTGAGATATTGGATATTTGATTCTCCAAACCTGATCATATTCCAAATCTACCTAGGTTGATTTGAGATCCAAACCTGACCATGTTCCAAATCTACCTAGGTCAATTTGAGATATGATCAAGTTTGAGACATTTGATTCTTCAAATCTGACCATGTTCCAAATCTACCTAGGTCAATTTGGGATACGGTTGTGTTTGATATAATATGTTTCAAACTTGACCATAAACCAAACTAACTGGGTTAGTTTGGAACACGGTCAAGTTTGGGGTATCGGACACCAAACTTGACTATGTCCCAGGTCCGATTTGGGATATTCCAAGTTGAATTTGAAACATGATCAAGTTTGGGACATGATCATCCCAAATCAGAAATTGGAGTTTGAGAAGTCTAAAATAGGAATTCCGATTTGGGATATCCCAAGTTTAACTTGGGATAAGGTGACGTTTGGCTACAACAATACCATTATGTTAAATAATCACAATGGAAAATTGTAAACCCATATGGGAGGTCTGCTAGGAAAATGAGGCTCAGAGAATTTTTTATTAAAATTTTAATTTTTATTGCATTTTAATCTAACATTATCAAAAATTAAAATGCAATAAAAATGAAATTTTAATAAAAAATGCTCAGAGCCCTATTTTCTTAGCAAACCTCCCATATATTATTAATTACAATTAGTAAATAATGGTTTTATGTATATGATGATTTTTACTTCACGTTAATATTTTTCCTACCATTTTTTTCATTTAAATTAAGCTTTACTCTTTACATTTTATCAATGGAAGTTGATACATTAACTGGTGAACTTGAAATTGAAGCGAAATTTACATTAGAAGAACGAAAAATGCAACTCAAACAAAATGAAATTGATCAAAAGTTAAAAGAATTGCAACTCAAAAAAATGGAACAGGAATTGAATAAATAAAATGGAAATATATTATTGTGCAAAATGGCAAACTTGCTTAGCATTACTTAAGGCTTTAATAAATACAATTGTAACATGCAGAATAATAGGAAAATTTTCTAATGATTTCAAGCGTATTTTTTACTTAATTTAGTAAATTAAAATAAATTTCATTCTATATAAAAAAAAATAAATAAATTCATTTTAAATAAAGAATATACATTTTTTTACTTTTGATTTACTATATATGAATGCCAAGTTTAAATATAATATTTTATTACTAATTTTTACTTAAGACTATTATTAAAATTCTTCAAACGAACGTAAATGAATATTGAATATTATATCATGTATATAGGTCAATGGGTCTGACATAATTTTAAATATTTGCAATACAAGTATGATATTTTAGGTGTGCAGTTACGTATCTTACCTGCAACTTTAGTTGTATGTATTTAATACTACTAGGAAACAGGTACGATATGATTGACAAAGTATTAATCATTAATAATCATACCATAATTGATATACATTAACGTAACATAACCATTTAAAGAATGTTGAAAATCTGTGTTTGAACAATATCTTTTTATATTCTATCAATGAAAATTTTTAGCCAATCAGCACAGCTCTATCAAAAAAAAAGATGGTTTGTAGCTCCAGTTTTTTAACTTCAATAAATAACAATCGTTCTTAATTTTTTAGCCAATCAGATCATTTCATTTTGTAACCCATTGAATGAAATACTTGAGAATGTCCTTAATAATATCTTTCATGAAAAATTGGAAAGCTTCTGATATTAAAGTCATCATATAAATAATTCATTCATGAATTGATCAATGGGAAAAGGTATCTGCTCAATTTATTAATATTTTTAAATTATTTTTCAAAAAACAAATAATTAAAAAAGAAATGAACTTGATTGTATAAATGAATCCTTGTTGAAATTTTAAATATAATAATATTGGTCTCGCTTATAAGAAGTGGCAAGTTAGTTGATAAGTAAATTTATTATAGCATTTAGTTTAGATTTCAATTCCAATTATTAGTAATGATAACGGCATTTTATTAAACGCAATACTTTATTAAGTTGATGTATTACGATATTATGGAAAGCTTTATGATATTTATTAATACCTACTTATAATTGTGGAGTTGGATATATAATTAGGTTTCGGAATAAGTTTCGGCTTTGGGTAATATAGGAAAGTATCTAGTACCATCAGGCGAAACAGCTTTCGGGCAATTTCGGTTTCGGCTTTGGGCGGGCGAAAGGTTCAGGTTTATCCCGAAGCATTATTTTAGAAGGCCGTGGTATATATGTTTGTAAATAATAGTTCCATTTTTTTGATATATTACATTGGCAGCAAAAAAAAATTTGTAAGCTCCATTTTTTTATTTATTCGAAGTTGTTTGGTTAATATAAATTTAAATCATAATTATTTAAAGTTCACATTACAGAGAATACTGTGTAGTGTAGGTAATTTATATAAAATGTGGGAGTAAGATTTCGTTAAAAATATATTTTTTTTATTAAAGCTATTGTTACAAAGAAATATAATTGTTCTATCGTGTTCTATTAGTTCCAGGGCATTGTGTCCCATTTCTGTTTAGTTTAAATTTAAGTTTTGTTAGTATTTAGTTAGACTTTTGTAGATCGATGGCCCTGGCCAAATTGTCTCCTGGCCAATATGCCATCCGGCCATTATGTTTCGAGGACAAAAAGGCCTCCGAACAATTAGTCCTTGCTGGGTTTTAAGTATAAAAGAGGTGGGATTTCGCTTGAATAGAACATATCAAGTGTTCCATACATTCCCTATATAATTCAATAGATAGTATTAGTATAGCATTCACCCCTTTTCCTTTTATTTGTAACGAATAACGAAAGTATATCATTAATTACGTATCTGATCGTATAGAGCGCCGACGATTGAGGCAATACTTTATTTACGTAGATTTATGTTAGATTTCTCTTGTTGTTAATAAATAAATTTAATCCATTTCAATAAAGAAACCTTCTGCTTACCTTTTCTATTGTTTATAACCAATAAACGTTTCGAATTGCGTGCAACACTATGGAGATATGTGATATATGAAAATCAACTTTTCCAAAAAAATTTTTGCTTCATCCGAAAAATATAATCGTTACTAAATGTACCGCTTGGTAAATACGCATCAATTTAAATGATAAAAATTACCAGGGTAGGTGATAAGAATCGTCAAAGTAAATTAATAAGAATCAACATGGGTGATGGTGCGTCTGCATCAACCTTTTGTCTATGGTGGCTTGCCATTTTTTTCAAGTATTTATTAATGTGAAACCTTCAATCCAGCCTTTGTTAATTTATTTTTCGGACAAAAAGATCGGCTGATTTTATGAAATTAATATTTTTTTTTTCGACTTTAACGTTAACGAATCGAGTTTATCAAATAATTAAAATAATTAAGTAGTTATAAATAATAATTTATTTAAAGACAACATTTTATTTACCAAAATAAGTAATTTTTTAATTTTTTTAATATGAAACATAAATTTCATATAAAAAATTTTTTTAATAACTAATATACAGTACTAATATTAAAAAATAAAAAAATATTTAAATGTTCGCTTATCCTCATTAATTATCAAAATCCCAAATAGATTTATTATCAAAATCTAGTTCTTTAGCGAACTCTGAAATATGTTGATCAAGATAGACGGCATTTTTAAAATTTCTAACGCGTTTTTTAGAAGGAACAAATTCCGGATCTTGGTGCCAATAATCAAAGCGATGTTTTAAATCATCATAATCTGATATTTGTATTGCTTTATATTTTAATACAGCCTGATTACTTTTAGCCGCTGCATCTTCATAAACATTACTAAAAGAACAAAGATGGGAGATTAAAAAAGATCTTAAATAGAATTACAAACTAGGAACGTAATAAGAAATTAATAAATCCTACCCCATAATAGCAATCAGCATGTTTTGCAAAACATATACAAGTAAAATACTAGCAATTATAGTGAATATATTTATAGACAAAGAACTAAATTGATCCATTTGAACAAAATCACCATTAGTCCAAAAATATGTAGCGAGTAATGAAGTGGTAAAGGAGGAAAATGGATTATCCATAGGATCTTTAGGATTAAAATCGGATTTAAGTTCAAGTTTAAGTATATCGTTCGTTTTCGGATTTGTAGCAAATCCACTTAATGTAGAATCTTTTGTTGTAATATGTGAATTTTTGAATAAAACAAACCTACATGTAAACAATATTTGCTTTATAAGATTTAGTTTAAAATAATAAAAAAAGCGTTAATAAATAATCTTACATTGTATGTGCGAATCCAAAAAGTATGAAGAATAAAAATATGAGAAATGGATAAATGCGTCTGATGATATTTATGACACAATAAATATAAAACGATATTTCTAAAAAAAAAAAAAAGAAAAGAAAAGAAATTAGTAAGTGAACTAGATATGATAAGATTTATTTTATATGATATTTTTGCATTACTTGGTATTAAACGTAAATATAAAATCTAAAAAAAAAAGTTTTAAACGTACGTAAATAAATAGTTAATTAATAATGTATAATCATAAACACTAAAAAAAAAACTTACAAATTCAATCCAAATTATAAAAATTGAATAAGTAATTTCCACAATTAATTGGTTGTCTTCTTCAATGCTTACAAAGTGGTTATCAGATTTAATCATCATTTTTATCATAATTACCACAGGCATTATGATTGAAAGTAGATCAAACCAATTAAACACTATCTTCCAATATTTTTCATTTGTATGATGGCGAAGTTGCAAAAATTCAGTAATAAGTAGATAAATTGCTAAATAAAAGAATACAGCAATCAAAAAATATAAATAAGGTCCCTTGGCAGAGATACTACCAATGTATACTAAACTAACAAGCATAAAACAAATTCCAAATATAAAAAATCGAAGAAGAAGAAAGAAAAAGTAACTATTTGCACTCGTCCAAAAATTATTAATTATGTACTCGATTATTGGGAGATCAAATATATCGTCATTATCTTCATTCGTAATTATTTTAATTAATTTTGATTTATCTTGGTTAGATTTATACCATCGTGGTATAAATAGAAACAACAGAATATGTTTAATTAATTTGTAATTATTTTCCTTTTTACCCTTGGTAAATTTAGTATTCTTTGGATCATTCTCGGGTGATTTAAATTTTTTTATTATTAAATCTATCTCAAACGAAACCCAGTTCTGAATCCTCTTTAATGGATCTTTCTCTTGGATTTTTGTGGTTTCCTCCACAAATGTGTGCCACTCATTTTTTATAATACTGGTATAAGTTTCTGTATTATTAATAAACTTTATTAATTCAACAAAACAAAATCTATTCAAATTAAATAAGATTATGAAAATGAAAACATACCATAATTTAATATCTTACATAAAGTATATGCATCGGAAACAGTCTTTACCAAATTAGCAAAATCTTCTGAATAAAATAAATAATAGTATTCCAAAATATATGTAATGATTATTGTATCATTTAATTCACGATCTACAAATAAAATGTTTTTAATCTTTGGTGATATTGTATTCAATAAATAGTAATAAGTATGGCTTTACCTCTGCAATTATAAATTGCTAAATTCACATCTGTCGTTGGATATTTTTGTTTCTCTTTCTGAACTGCAAATAAATAAAATATTTCAAATATAACGACCAATAATGTATAATGTCAAATGTGAAAAGACTTTGGGGTTTTACCTTTGTTAGCTTTATCAATTTTTATATTCGCATAGTTTGTTTCATTTATTATAATATATTCACGTTCTTCATTTTCTTCGTTCCAAAACTTACATTTTGGTTTATAAAGATCCATGTCGGACCCAAATAAAAGATAATGAATTAAATGATTACAATCACCAAAAATTAAATTTTTCATAACATTATAGCGAACATCTAGTAATCTATATCGTTGTGGTCGCTTTGAAGCAAATCTCGAAATTATATGATTAATATACTTGACTATTTCATTGTACTATATATTGTAAATAGACTTGTTAATTAATTTGAATTAAAAAAATTTTAAATACCTAAATCAACTTACTTTATGTGTTTTATCATAACTTGTTAAAGATTTTACGCGCACGTTAAGGAATTCTAATGCCTCACATGCATATCTTATTCCATTCAATCTTTCATTAATATCCCTCCACTCAATTATTTTTTTATGGATTGTCATTCCTTTTATTTCTTCCATATTTTTCATTTTTTGCGTCCTTACTTTTATATTTTCTTTCTCATTGCTTGAACCTTCGTACCAATAAACCTCCAAACGAAAATTTTTCAAACCAAATCTAACACTTTTTATATGTAATTTATGTTCTTCATTTTCTTGATTATATGGAATTTCATTCGTCCAAATAAATTCAAGAAATGGCCTTCCTTTATTAGGAAGATATTTTTTCTTTTTTGTTTTATCATTGAATTGATGCCAGATTTGAATAGTGGATCTACCGACAATAAGTTGTAAAACTTCTGAATCATTATAGCAAAGATAAAAAGAAATCTTTTCATATTTATTTGTTACCCATGGTTCTAGTTCACTAACTGCCAGTTCTAATTCATCATGTTTATTTATTTCCTTTGCATAAAAATATATAGTATGATGTTCTAATTTTTTAAATGATGTTGGTTCTTTAAATCCTGGAATATATTCTTCTAAAACTGAATTTTCTAAATTACTTTCAATATTATTCTTTTCTGATTTTATCTTAATCATATTACTAATTGATATAACTTTCCCTTCATTATTTACATGTAAAATATTTCCAGAGGAACTTGCAAAGCAAGTACTAAGATTTTGTGACGTAAGTCCTTCTAATGTTATTATATCAACCTTGTCAGTATCATATATATCCCAAATGATAAATTTTAGATCCTTTGTAGAATCACTGACAATCAAAAATAATTTCTCATCGCTGTTGATGAATTCAATTAAATGGATTTTATGTATATTGAATTTTTCAAATGATTTGGATGCGATTCTCGATCCATGTTCCATAAGGAATATCCTATGTTAACAAATTATAAGGAAATGGTTTAAAACTCGAAAGGATGAATTAATATTTTGAATAAAATATCACGTGACTGATCGCATGAAACTCACCCAATAGATTGAGGTCCTTGAGCAATACAAAATTGTAATTCTTGTTTATCGATCGAGTAAACTTTGTCGTTAAGGTTTATGTCGTCATCACCGATCTTTATACTAGTTTCAAATTTCATTTTTCCTAGATCATAAACTGTAAAATAAGTTTGTTAATAATAATAATAATAATAATAAACGAATATATAAAGGTAGTATTGTTATTTACCTTCAAGAACTTTTTTGCTGTCTTCTATAATAAAATATTTTTTATAAATGTATGACAACAGAAGGCTTGTGCGATCCTGTGTACTTTTTAATTCGCAAATGACATCTTCTGGATATATATATCTCTCCTCATCATTAAAAGTTTTATGTTTCTCATTATATTTAAAGCTATATATGCCATTATAATTCAATAAAATAAATTTTTTTAAATTATAATCTGATTTAACATCTTCCTTTGTCTCTTCCGCGAATCTACAAATTCCTGATAATCTATTATAATTATATTTAGTAAATCTATAATCAACTTGATTAACGTCTTTATTTAATTTAAGACAATAAATAACGGTTTTAAAATCTGTTAAATTTGTTGCATTTTCCGAACTAAAATTTATACAATATTCTCTATTACTCTCAGAGAAATTTTTTGCAACCATTGTGCTAATCTCATTCTCTTTTTCCATATTTTGTTCAAGTATTCGAGAAGCTGCTATGAATATAAAATTTCCGTCATTGGATATGTCGATCGACCATCTATCTATAACATTTTGGGATGGCGGAGGATTATCGTAAGTATCGTAAACTTGGATAGATAAATCATCATCCTTTATTTTAAAATGAGCAAGTTCTCGATGATCGATAGTTTTTAAAATTTTAACGTGAAGGGTTGCTAAATTTATAATAAAAAAGTATGAAAAAATTTTTTTTTAAAAAAATAAATGAAACATTATTCTAAATAACGCTTACCTGCATCGAACGTGGCAGCATATTTTCCATCTCGACTAATAGCTAGATAAAATCTATTCAGATCATCGTTTTTGCAAGGAGGTTCAGAAAACATTTGTTTGTTTAAAAAATATATTTTTTTTATATAAAGAAATTCAAGGGAAAAATGTCGTGAGGAAATGACGGAGAATGGCGATTTTATTCCTTTAAAAAGGTTTGCAAAAATCACGACTGTGATACGCTTTATAAGGTCGAAATTTTGTTTTACGTTTCATTCGGAATTACAACTCCTTAATGACAATAGTAACTTAAAACTATAAAGTCAATCGAAAACAAAGATAAAACACCCCCTAAATACGAGATGCAGATCTGAATTAAATTTTTGTTGTTCAATGCAATAATATTGATTTTTAAACACCTAATAGATTGATGCTGATCAAAGATACGGGTAAATTTCGGAATTGTGTCGCTTTAAGCAGAAAAATTTAATGAATACCTTTATCGCATTTTTTAAACTCATATCCTTCAATTTATTCAGGAAATGCATCAAGAAATTCGTGTGCATTCGATTAATTTTTGGTATTAGCGTGTTTTCTTCGGTTCGAATCTTTTTAAGTTCTTAGAAAATCCTGCTGATTCTGATGCATCCTTTCCTCAGGAATATGAACCTAGTAATCGGAAAGCTAATCGTGAATTATAAACAGCGGATAGATGCATTCTTGATGAGAACTAAAACCAAAACTACAATGACCCTTGTTACCTAGGCAGGTAATTAAAATAGTTAATGGATTTATTATGACGATCGCAACGATGTACGATGTAACGAAATTAGGCGTACGACCAAATAAATGAAAATGAAATAAGGAAAAACTTTATTAAATAAATAACAAGGAAATAAATAATATCTAATATTACTGCAGGCGCTCTGCAATAGGTCTTTAGAGAAAAGAAATGTTTCTAATTCTACCTATTCAATTCTACCGAAAATCGAAACATTTTTATACCTTATTTTTCTTCCCATGGCTTTGCTACAGAATTCTTTAAAAATATTAATTTATTTGCGGCTAAATGATGGATAGAGAATTTTATATCAACATCCCATGTAAACTTGCCAGTCCTGGGATTATTGCCACCTTTTCCAAAGAATTGTTGAGATTTTATCACTGTTTTTGAAATTAGTTTAATTCCAATATTTCAATTTTTTAGTTGAAAATCAATTCATTCACAAATTCTTTTATGTTTTAAATCATGTTTCTGATGATATTGTTACATTATTACGAAGAAGGAGAAATGGGCAATGCAGGAAGATAGATGGTCTTGTTATTGTATTATTGTATTTGGCATTTATTAGCGTTTATTATTTTTTTATTTTATTATTTTTTATTATTATTTTATTAGTATTATTTTTTTTTTATTTATTTTTATTATTATTATAATTTTGCATCTACTAGCGTTTATTATTTTTTTTTTATTTTTACATGTATAAGAAATTCGGCTAGCGATTATTAAGTTAGCGCAATGAAGATCATTTGGGCCAATTGTTCTCCGGTGTTAACCCTGGGATTGTACCGAAACCAAGGTAACGAACAATGCATGCAATTCGATATTCTGGAATCCCTTTTATCCTGGAATATACCACTAATGACTTTATCACGATTCTATTGTGTAGTTGATTATCACAAGCAGAGCCTATGTGGAGACAAGAGGAAGGTTTGAAAGTGTAAAGATATTTTATTATTTGAAAGTCCGTAAGTCTATCATGAAACGATCGGACTATATTTTTTTGTAATTAATTTTCCAGCATATTTACTAAATTTAAACTACGCATTTTCATAATTATAAATAATATAAATGATAAATACAAAATAAACAAAATAAAACAATGAAATAATAGGAATTATAAAACCCCGAAATGTCATATGTATGCTACTACATTTGCCGCAGTACGATTTTAGACGCAGTTTTTGATCGTCAGACATTTTCGAGGCTAACACTGTACTGTCCACTGGCCAAATCAGTTTCCTGGACAAAAATGTCCTGTTAAAATTCATGTATATAAATGGCGAAATTTTTCATTAATAAAGTTCAACAATTACAACAGTTAACACAATTCACATTCGCAATAATAAACAAATCATTCAATTCCGATAATTCCCTAAACACGAAAACATCGTTATCCATTATTTCCCTTTTACACTTTTATTGTAATAACTCCGAAAGATATAATTAATAAACATACCTGATTGTATAGAGCGCCGACGTTGCAGGCAATACGATATCCATGTTGTATTAGATTAAAATTAAGATTATTATTAATTAAATTAGTAAAGCAATAAACACGATACCTTCTGTTTACCTTAAAACTCCGTTTATAACCCATAAATATCAAAGAACTGCTATGAACAATATCGAGTATTGGTTTAATATTATTTTGGTTTCTTTACTTAAATGTATTTGGATCCTTGTAAAATATAATTTAATAAAATAAGAATGAATTTCTCGAATTTCTATGGAAATAGATTCAAAATTTTAATAATTTTAAAACGGAGTTAAAATCACATGAATGCAAGTATCAAAAAAAAAGTCTTGAGAAATTAAATGAATAAAATTCATAACGTAAATTCCAAAAGTATTAAACTATCAAAACCAAAATTAGAATACTCTGGGTATAATTTTAACTTTCAATTCATCACAACTTCTACTAATTCAACCAATTCAAAATCATATTTTCGGTACATCAATACCATATACGTTTTCAATTCCATCATTGCTAAACTTTGTCCCTATCAAAAAAAAAATAAAGATAAAAAAAATCACTTAGAATTCTTGTAATGTTAAAATAATGAACAACTGAAATATAGGATAACTTACCGGACACATTCTTATACCTCCTCCAAATGTAAGGTTCAAAGTCTTTTCTCGATTATTCAAGAAACGATCAGGATTAAATTTTTCAGGATTCGTCCAAAGAGCTTTATGCTTATTTATACCATATTGATGTATATAAATTTGAGTTTCGGCAGGAATAACATAACCATCTAAAATTTTTTTTCGGGTACTCACACGATAGTTAAGATCAAAAGTTGTGTGTATTCGAGAAATTTCTCGAAGTACCGCATCAGTTTGTTTAGTTCTTCGCAAGTTAATTTTGATCACTTGCAAATTTAAATCGAAAACACGTTTCTTTATTTGGCAATAAAATAACTGATAAAGCAGGTTGTGGCTGTAATGGCATCAATACCTCCAGCGGTAGCTTCCATTAAATTATCAATAATAGCTTCATCTGTCAACGGTTCGGTATGAATTTCATTACATAATATTTCTATCGGTGTTGATGGGTAAGCATGTCGGGAGTGATCGGTTTATCTATGGGAGTATTATCGACCTTTTCTCTTCGTCGTGTAATAATATTCGTCATATCATTCATCAAATTTCTAGTTCTTTCAATAATTTTAAAGTTTTTTGACGGAATCCACCAATAGGAAGCCATGAAATATAACAAACTGATAGAAAGCATAAACCTTTTTATTTGCCGTGATATTAATAATATTATACGTATAAAGTCGACATCACTCGGATAAATCTAATTCATTATGTTCATTTCCTTCCAATAACTTTCCATCTCTTCAAAATTCTTTTCGGACCATACCAAAGCTTGTTTAACAAATGATGGACTCATAATCGCACGTATAAAAAAATTTTCGTAAGTATGTCCATGAAGCATAGTTTATATTAAATGCTATTCCTCTTGATGAAAAATTGACGAACGATTAATAAAATTACTCGTTTTCACGTTGGTTGAATAAATTTTTCTAGCAAATCCTCTCTACCTATTCCAATTCCTCTCGTTTTATCACTTGGATGACCAACATAGAATTCCCAAATATCACCATTATTCTTTTGACATTCTCTACAGAATAATGATATGTCTTTACTGTCTTTACTACCTAAGTTGATGTTGATTCCCGATAAGTGGAAGTGGAATTGGACCAGGAATTGGATTTGTACGAGTGAAATACTTGAAATAAAAATATGCCACATATGTGAGAATTCCTAATCCTAGACTAAGAAAAAATATCATAAACCATTGTGAAATGGTATCGTTAATATCTTGTTTCGAATTATTGTTTGAAAAAGAAGTTTTTTTTTTTTTTTTTATAAAAAAATTGAAACCGTATATTTTTATATTAATATTATTTGTGTTTGCGGCTAGCTCATTAAAAAAAGGTAGTTTTTTCGATATATGGCATGCATAGAAATCAAGTTTCCGAGAATTTTTTAGGTTTTATAGCACGTGTATAAATTTTGATATCATAGTATATTCTTGATATGTATGGGAAGTTACATACAAATTGATGTAGTGTGAATTCAGAGTTTTTAATATAATTAATTTCATGGGGAGTTAGGAATAATCAGGGTTATTCTGCACCCCATGAAATTACTAAGTTATACCCAGGAGCGTGTGATTTATGATGATATGTATAACAATGAATTATACTTTCATACTCAGAAGCATGCGTTCTTTACAATTTTCTCACATTCGTTAAATTGTTTTTTACTTTTTTACTAAAACTTAATTAATAAAGGTGGTAATTAAAAATGTTTTTCATTTTTATTTTTTGAATAAACAAATAAATAAATTATTTTATTTTTTTAAAATTTTAAAGGAAACCTTATCAAGAAAAGCTAATAATAACCAAGTATTGACCTACGAAAGATTTATTATTCCAGCTGATAATGATTTTACTAATATTATTCCAAAAAATGAAGAATTTTTACGTAAAAAAAATTTTAAAAATTCGAATTTTTAATACATTTAAAAGAAAAATACATTGAAAAATCAAGGTATTACAAATATTTACCAAAAGAAATGCCACATGTGATAGTGTAAAATTAGACATTTTAATTAAATTACTAATTTAATCTATAATACAGAACTAATCATTGAAAAAGTTTATTACCATGAAAAACTAGCTAAAAATATCCCGGGAAAAATACATAATTAATAAATTTACGATGTTTTTTATCATAAGTCACACTTAGTGCGACAGGATATAATTTAATTAATTACATTATTAGAATATTTTCTATTTCGGTATATAAAAGAATTTGTATTTTAGATACATTTTCAAATCAGTTTTATTACCGTTACTGAACATAGAGAATTTGAATGGAGGCGTAAAACGAATCTTTTGATTTCATATGGATTTCAATTATACTTATTTACGTAAACAATGGGAAACCATAAGAAAAAAAGAAATAATTGTTTTAAACTAAACCATATGCAAATTAAAAAAATCATTCTAATTTGCTAACGAGGAGGAAAAAGACTAGTATGTATTTTTCCGATATTTGTGAATTACTGGTTTTTTCGTGCTACAATTGAATACGAAGTACTCGGAATGCAAAAAAAGAATCCAAATTACTTTCGTTATTCGATAATTTTTTCATCAAAATAAACCGACTGATTCAACTGAATGAGCATTCGGTTGAAATATCGTATTGGCTAAATCTGTCATAAAAATCGTAACTTCAAAAATTTTAAGTTGGTAATTTTTTTTTAAATCCCCGTTCACAATAATCGATTAATCGATCATCCTAATCGATTTATTTATGGCGTAACTATTTTTTTTGATCAAACTTAAATATTTATTTTGTTTTGTTAAAAATAATTAATTAAAGAAAAAATTACTATTTATCAAGAAATTTACATTTCACAAATTATACACTTTTATAAAATGATGAATACTGTGCCATTATCTCCATATCTGCTGATTAAGATTATATAAGTATGTTTCACAATTTCACCTGACCTGTTTGTTAAACTCATTAAATTATGATGCATACATTCCTCATTTATGAATGATTTTTTTATTATATAATCCCAATTGTTCATAAATGACTGACTTTTCCTATTTTAGCATCCTTTGATTACTTAAATGGGCAGATCATTTTTTGTGAAGAAAAAAAATTAATCGCAAATCCTCAATTTTTTCTACCACAAAATCTTTAACAAGTTACCATGAAGATAATAAACTCACTAGAAAAAAAAGATTTTATAGGAATAATTGTATCGATTATTCTTGTATACATTGCAAGATTTTATTACAAGTATTTAACACGACCAAATCCTTTGCCGGGACCAGTTCCATTACCTATTGTTGGAAATTTGTTATCAATCTTTTTTTATGCCAAAGGTGATATGACTCAATGGTTAAAGTCACTACAGGAAAAACATGGGGATATTTTTGAAACATATATTGGAAGTTTCCGAAGAATTGTACTCGCTCGAGCTGATTATATTGAAAAATTAATGTCACCGTCCACAAAATCTAATTACGTATTAAGGACGGAACATATGCCAGCATTTGATGAGCTAAACATTTCAGGAAAAGGATTTTTTTTTAATAGAGACATTCCTACTTGGAGATTTAATCGGCAAATCCTTTCACAAGTTGTTCTTACTCCGAGTTTCTCAAAAGAGGCCTTACATCGGAATCAAATAATCTTCAATGAACTAAATGAATATTGGAAAGAAATTGGACAAGATGTACCAATCGACTTTTCCAAATGGATTCATAAATTCATCACGGAATCTATCTTTCAATTGGCTATTGGATTAAAAGTTGGCACATTGGCAAAATATTTTAATGATAGCGTAGAATTATCCAAGAGAAAGTATATTGAGCCAAATCCTATTGATGAAAATATCATAAACTTTGATCAAATGATTGAAGCTCGTCTAAGAAATTCACAATTTGTTTTTAATGTTCCAGCTTTTATAAGACGTACAATTTTTAAAAAAAGGAATGATGAAATTCATAAAAATAGAAATGAGTCCCGAAAAATTATGATGAAGATTATTGATCTTCGTCGAAAAGAAATTGAAGATGACAAGGAATTAGGAAGTGACATGTTGACATTATTAATCACAGCAAATACTGAACAGATTGATGAACAACATTCTAAACCTTTAACCAATGATCAAATTTTTCAAATTTTGATTGAAGCTATTATTGGAGGAATTGAAACAACCACCAATTTATTATGTTTTATCGTATTTCATATTGCTCATTACCCTAATGTATTGGCTCGCTTGCGAGAAGAACTTGATACCATTTATGGTTCTGAAAAAAATCATCAAATTTCGATGGAAGATCTTTCAAAAATGCGTTATACAGATTCTATAATCAAAGAATGCGCTCGTCTTATTAATCCCTCAAAATTATTTCAACGTAACTCTTCATTACCAGATACTATGATCGGTCGTGAATGGCCAGCGAATACTGCATTCTTTGCATATATTGAGGGAATTCATCATAATCCAATTCATTGGAAGGATCCTCTTAAATTTAATCCTGATCGATTTATGGAACCAGAACCACAAAAGAACACATTTTTGACGTTTGGAGGCGGAGTGCGGATTTGTCCAGGAAGAAAGTTAGCACTTGTAACAATGAAATGTTTAATCTCTTTGATTTATAGAAATTTGGATATTTCGTTAGTAGATATGGATGCCCCTTTGAAGTTAAGGAAAGATCTGGTAAATTCTTGCACTGAATTAAAAATTAGAGTTAAACAAAGAGAGGCACATGTTAATGTTTAAATCTTGCTATTTTGAATTTGTACACGTCATGCGTATCATGAATTTGAAGTCTTATAGATAGTTTTAAGTTATATTACTTTTTTTTTAAAAAAAAAATTCATAAACGAATAAAAAATTTTTTTTCCTTCAAATTTACTTGAACCGACCAAAATTATATTAAAGCAAAACAAAGATTGAGTTAAGTATCATTCACCACGTGACCTCATTTTTTCTGTTCAAATCTAATTCCTTATAATTAAAATTGTGTTGCATTATAACGAATAATTCACACAAAATTATATTTTCAACTTTAACGCAACGAAAGTGACGGACGCATTGACTGTATTAAGGAATTATGTGTGACACACAAGTAACATATAAAAGAAAATCCAAATTTTGGTCAAAATTTATATTATGACAATTAGCACTCATAATTTTCTACTATCACCTTCATATATACAAATAAGTTAATAAAAAAGTGTTGACTTGGTTTCGAGAATTTTTATAGCATACTCTTACACATGTTTTTATCGCACGGTATAGGATCATGCTGAGTGTGTGTGTTTAACCAATTTTTTTTTATATTATGCAATATACTAACTAATTTATTTGCGATTACGATAATAGGGGACAAAATTTTTGTACTCCACTTGATCGATCAAAGTTATGTGTACAAGATATTCCCTTTTTTACTGATACCCATCATTGTTTAATAATTAGATATCGTTTGAATGTTAGCGTCAATGGAAGCATATTGTTTAATTTGGTTTTTAATAGCAAACGATATATTAGTTCATTCCTAATATTTTATGGATATAAAAGATAAATATCTTTTCATCAAGTCATAACTACTAGATGTCTTAATAAAAAATAAAGATAAATTAATTTTAGAATAAATCAATTTAGAAATTAGAAATACTTAGAAACGCTAATTTTCTAAGGACACTTACAGTTATTCTATTATGATATTACATTATTTATTATTAATAATTGGAATTTGAAATTTAAATAAGTCCATTGCATCGACATACTGTACATTCATTTCGGGTATATGGAAAACCGGTACGGTACGAATCGTTTGACCGGTACGTTTCGCGAAAATTGTATCGTACTGGTTCTATAATAAAGGGGGAGTATATAATAAATTAGTACAGTACGGTGATACAAGTTAGTACGGACGAAATAAAAAAAAGCAACTCAATTTTTCCGTACTTGGACGGACATTTGAAAAATAAAATTCAATTTTCCGTACATTCATAATTTTTCCATACGGTTGTCACATTTGGAGAAAATATGAAAATAATACTAATGCTTTGCATAATCGGTTCATGCATCTATATTATTTATTACTGCATTATTTCATATTATTTTTACAATAATAATTTTTCCGAAAAAATTTATTTATTTTATTTTTTTTTTTTCGGAAATTTAACCTTTTCCTTTCTTTTTTCGTTTTTTTTAGGAAATTCTTATTTTGGAATTAAGGTAAGTGAATCGGAAGTGACTTTTGTGGCATTTTCCTTTCTTTGTTTTAATTTTTTTTAGTAGTAAAAAAAAAACGATGAAAATTCAGGTATACCATATATCAGATGACAGTAAATTGCATCATGTAAATAATTATTACTATTATTATATATGTGTATATATGGGAGGCGGTCACCAGAAAAGGGGAAATCCAAAATTTTTGTTAATTTTTATTATTAAGCCAAATTTGTGCACATGATCGATATTAGCCAAGTAGTCTAATAATACAAATTTTGACCAAAATTTAGCCTCCCATATATTTTAATATACTAATAATTTATTTATTTTATTTAGCTACTATAAATTTTATGGATGGTAACGGTCTGTCATGGTCGGTCAGCGTTCGGTCAGAGGCCTTTGACCGACTGACCGGTTATACTGACCGGTTTAACCAGCCCATTTAACAATAATTATAAGTTATTGTGCTTTGCAACGATTAATATCAAAATTATTGTCAATTGTGATGATGATTGGTTAGATTTAGCCACGTAAGTGGCTAAATCTTACTGATCGACATTACAATTAGACAATAATTTTGATTAATCGTTGCAAAGCACAATAACGAATTTATGATGTTGACTTAAACATCTAATAATATTTGAAGCAGGTATGTTAATATTTCATTTATTTTAGAATTTATTAAATTTTAAAGCATTAATTCAATTATATTATGTTAAATAGCATCAACAATTTCTTGGCCAATATATCAACTCCAAATCCTTTATTACATTTTATCTAAATATTTACAACATTTCTAGATGGATTAAGCATTTATTAACGAATTACAAATTATATGTTTCTTTATTATATTTAGCAAAATTGTTTTTTTTAAAAAAAAATAGATAAATACAATGATTTTATACTAAAACATTAAGTTTTAATGATATAAAGATCGATTTCGTCATCCATTTCTGGAATTAAATAATACTCAAGATCTATAAAATCAGTAATATATGGGAGCGTTTCCAGTAAAATCACATTACGGATCATATGGTTTACTATGCCTCATAACTTGATTTTACTAGAAACGTTCCCATATGCTTATTTATATTTTCAAATCGATATTTTTGTTTTCAAAATTTGTTGTATAGTGGTTAAACCTATAGAGATATGGTCCCTTAATTCGGATTTATAATATGTTACAACTAGCTTAGTACAGGAGAATAAAACCGGCTACTCTTAATAAAATTGGAGGTTAAGAAATTTGATGTTTATTTTTGTACTACAATTTTTGTTATCTACGAAAGAACGATATGAACAATAAAAGACAAAGCAACTCTTGCACAAGCCAAAGGAAAAACTTTAGAACGCCCCAAACGATCTCCAAGCACGCGATAATTAGCCAAAAAAGAGATACAAACTTTTCATATAGAAATACCACTGAAATCGTTAAAATATCAAAAAAATCCCTTAAATTCGGTAAAGAAGTTATATAAGGAATATCACCATATAATATATGTGTGTGACCAATAGCAAAAAATTTTAAAACGGCATTTTTCAACACATTATTTTTTGTTGTAAATCCCAACGTAAACAAGATATCCAAATTGTTCTCATCTACAAAACCAATAATTCTACAACTAAGTAATTTTTTCAAATCACGAATTTCTCTTAAATTAGCTTCATTATATAAATCCAATAATTCATCAAAACCCAAATTGTCGTCAAGCTTTCCAGTATAAATGTAATGTAATAATCTATAAAAACTATCATAAGAAACTCCGTCCATATTAATATTTATCTTATTGGCAAATTTACTTGCACCCTCTAATAAATTTTTAAAGTGTGGAGATTTTGTAGCAAGGAAGATACTGGATGCTTTGATTGTAGAATTACTATTAAAAGTAAATAAGATGTCACTGAACACGTCATCGTCAAAATATTGGTCATATGGATTAATTACAATTGGCAATGGTACCGAATTATTTTCAATTTTATAAAAATTAATTCGAACGATCAAATCCAACTTATCATAATTTGGAAATAATTTTGCGACTTTAACAAGGTTGTGAGCTACCGATGATACACCATATTTAGAAGAATGAAAATAATTGAGTCTTTGACTTTTCTCTACAAATTGATATTTCTCATCGCTATTATTATAATTTACAAATAGTTCAAAGAAATGATCTGCATTTCGATCTTTCAAATTAATCTTCATATCCTTTTCATAATCGGTTTGTATAGCAATTAAGCCTATAGAGATATGGGCCCCAAACATTCCATCATTCGGATTTAAAATAAGTCGCCACTCGAAATATTTGTCTTGACTATTTTGTGCATAACTCGGAATTGGAGAATAAATCCGGTCACTCGCAATAATATTGGATGATATTTCGTAATAATCTTGAAAGTTTTTAATTTTCCAATCATAGCTATATAATATTTCATTATCTTGTGTAGTCAGTTCGGCACAGCTTATATCATTTAAAAATTCAAACCCCACAACATAACTAACAAAGAGGGTTGAAAAGAAGGGTAGGAAGAAAATTAATAAATTCATGATTTTTTAGTGAGAAAAAAAAAGGAATAATACAATGTAGACTTAAATCTCTGCAGAAATATATTTGGCAAAAAAGAATAATTTCACCAATAATGTTATTCTTGTCCGAAAATGTTCACTAATGGGTTTGAATTTAATAAGGAAATGATTGATGAGATTGATGATCTTCAGTGGCTATTAGACGTTCGAACAATTTGCTATTTGTAAAACAAATTATAAAAGTTGAATTAAAAAAAAAAAAAAAATGGTTTGACAGGCAAGTAATGCAATTTTTAGTAGAACCGGAGTTGTGTGGACATAATATATTATTGATCCAATCAGAATTGAAGCGACGTTCAACCGGAAACGTCACGAGACTTTCGGATTTTCACATTCCTAAGACGCGAAGTTTATTCATTATTTCTTGTCCAAACTGTATTCTTATCAAATTATTCAAACGCGTTACTGCATTTCAGCACACAAATTTTAAAAGTCTTTTTCACTTAAAAAGTAAAGTAAGATTTTCTTTCAAGCCATATTCCTTTCTAACTTCTATAGACCTGTAATGAAACCCCCTCATGTTTTGTTTTAAATAAGTCTTCATTATACGATTTCAAGCTCATTCTAATTTTAAGTTTCACATTATTTGTTCGTAAACATGTAATCAGGATTATTTGTTCGAACATGTATTAATACTTGTACGTTAAAATTGGAAATAATCACGATTTAAATTTTAAAATATAAATTTTCTTTTATTACATTACAATTACCCTTTTCATTTTTTTGCGGCACGAACTTAAATATCCTCAAAATTCAAAAATTTGGTTTTAATTCAATTATTTCAAGATTAAAGAGCCTGATGCGTCATAAAAATTTTCAGGTCGATCAAATATTTTCTAAAGACAGATCAACCGAACAAGACCCGACAGACCGCCTTTAATAATAAAGGAACAATTTATTTGTGATTTAAATTCAAGTGCGATGGTCAGATTAAATTACTATAATAAAAAAATTTTGTGGCTTTTAAATTTAACACAGCCTCATCTGTAAATCATGTATAAATCTTATTTGTAGCTTATATTTCGACTTTTCGTTTCAATTTAAACAAAAAAAAAAAAAAAATCTTTCATACATCATGTTTTTAAAAACTGCATCTTACACTTCGACAGAAGAATATGATTCTTTTTGGTATTATAATTTAAAGACGGAAAAACAATGTAAAAGTCATTGTATTCTAATTATAATATTTCTTTTTAGTGTATTTCTTATAACATTATTATGCGTATGTAGCATTTATAAGGATAACAAAGTAGTTTTTAATGAGGGGGTATTTTATTGTTTGGAATGGTGTAGATTTTGTTGTTATAAAAAGACATTTAACACGAACCAAGGAAATAAATTAAACTACCAAACCTTAGATTTAGAACATCAAGAAGATCAAGGATTTTAAAAGAAGGATGCATTTCATTGACTTTCTTACACTTTATCGTGTTTCTTTTACCTAATTTATGGTGAGATTGATAAAAATAATTCATAATTAAATTTTAGCTTATGATTTGACGTAGTTTATTTGTCACGTGATAAATATATAATTCACCGATCTATGTATTTCCAATGATTTGGCAAGTATTTCCTTGTATTCATTTGGTTCAAAATATTCATGCATACATGGACTCATAATTTCACACCTCCTTCAATCTTCTACCACACTATTCCAGTAGGTAATTCCATTAAGTATTTTTTACACAATCTCAGTTATAAAGAGCAAAAGATTTAATCATTAAAGAAATTACTCAACTCTATTTTAAAATAAGTCAATCATAAATAAATCACCGTTTTTTTTAACTGACAATACGTGAAAGAACGAGAATTCTCTCGAACCACAAATTAGATACAAGGTGCTATATAAACAATAATTTTTCTTGGTACTATGAACAATTGATCTTTTCATTTTCTTGGAAGCTTTTTACCACCAAATTCTTCCTTTTTTTATCTTCGATTTGACTTAATACATTATGACCAACCACTTAGTTATAACTTTATGATCCACATAATTCGTGCCGAATCTCAGTGCAGTGTAGACGAAATGTACGACATGAGTTCTAGCGAGATGTTTTTCAACAACAGACTTTAAAGCTTTTGCATTACAAATATTATGAAACGTTTGTCATATGATTTCATATGTTTCGTAATTTGATTTGAATAGCAAACGACCTATATATATCTCACTTTGATAATTAACCAGATCGATTTATCGCGAAAATTGTAAAAAATAAAATGTAAAAAAAAATATTTTTTAGTTTGAGTATTAAGTATGGTCGGGATTTACCGAAATATATGCATGTGTTACAAAAATAAAACAGAGTCACATTTCCGGTAATTCCGATTAGAAATGGCGTCGACCATATTACTGCGGAAATTTCAATCAGGCGATCAAATATTGAGCAAACATTTCTCGAGTTCTTCCTTATATGTAAAGTAAATGAAATACGTGAAATTAGTAACGCCTTTACATTCTCCACGAAATTTTGAATATGATCCAGTTGACAGCTGAAAATAATTTAAATATATTAAGAAAATAAAAATATCTAACAAACAATGATCGTATAACTTATATTAATAGCCGCAAGAAGTAATATGTTTTAATGTAACTTACATAATGGGGTTAATTGTTTCTATGCAATCAAACGTTTATGCAGGTGTAACGAAATTGCTACAACCGCTACTTGCATGCCACGGAGATCCTCCTTGGAAATCAAATTAATTCTTTCTAAACTAACGAATGATTGTCCGTTATCAAAGACGGGATTCATACATCGATTCATAATTCTGTCAAAAATTTTCAAAACATTCACAAAAATTTGAAATCTTTACAAAAACTTTTCAACTTTGAACTATTTTTAGAAGATATTCCTTGCGGACTGCTCCACATGTGCGACCAGTGGGCGTTTAAGCGAATTTTAGAAAACTACATTTAATAGCACAAACCTAAAATTTTCAAAGAATGTCATTTATGATTTTCCTTTTCTGGATATGCTGATGATTGATGATATAGATCTTTTTTTAGAGAGTATATTCTTTAAAAAAAAATAAAAAAAAAAAATAACCAATGATCATTAATTTGGTAATTTGTGTTCACGTACCCTTTTTACTACGTTAGGAGTCAAACAAAAGTTATATAAAGAAATGAAATGCTTTTAAAATCAAAAATTAAAAAAAATTTTTTCTTGTGAAATGAAAAGATATATCCTCTTCACTAGCTTTTTCATATGTAGCTTGATTACTACAATTTCCGCAGGCATTTGTTATGACAATCCTCATCGTAATGTGAATAAGTTGGTTAAAGTACAATGTGAAGAGGAATATGAGGTTTTTAAAAGGGATGCACCCAAATCACCAGATGATTCAATGTTTGAATTTACAATAGAATGTATATCAACAGAGGAAGTTTGCATAAAAGTTAAAAATGAATTTGAAAAGGCAGGAAAAGAAATTGCCAAAACCATAAGATTTAATACACCAGTTAAAGTTATCGCCGCATTTCATGATTTTTGCGACATACCAGAACAAACAAAAGATTGTCAATTAATAATTGGTGCGTATGATAGATAACATTCAAGGAAAGATACATGTAAAAACTTTTTATTTCACTTGTGTAAACTTCTAACCTTTAAAATTAATTTAGGGCAAGCTGGTGCGACACGCTTTATTTCTATGAAAGATGATGATGGTATAAATAGATTATACCCTCAACCTTTAGTGAAACAATTTCAATTCGAGAAGCATCCAAAATTTACTGATTTTGATATTTTTGCCGACTTCAATGCAAATACATCTTTTTGGTTTGAGGGGGATCCAAAAATCCAAACCACTCAAGTTGATTTTAAAACGGTCGTGGTTCATGAAATGATTCATGGGTTGGGATTCTTTAATGCATATTCACAATATACAGGTTATAATGCTACAATACCTCTTAACGTTAAACTTGATGAAGAAAATAGTTTTAATAATTTAAATGAAATCGTTGAGAACGGTATGTTTTTGGAATTCGCGATGGATAAATATACGGTGTTGCTTAAAGATGGAACTCCGATCTCCTATTTTTTTAAGAAATTAAATTCTTATTTCGTACAGTTCAATTCAACAAGTATTAATACTACTGATTTCATCAATTCACCACAATTTAAAATTGCCGAAAAATTATATGAACTTTCCATCACACCCTTAACTATTGGAGTTTTGCCAAAGGGGGCTGTCAATTATAAAAACGCCATACCTTTAGAAACTTCCATAACCGAATTTAATGCAGGATCTACTTTAGGTCACGTTGACTTCTTTACATTTTATAATACAGCAGACTTTTTAATGGTAGCTTCTGCGGAAACATGGGTCGGATTAACGGCTCAAGAACTGGTGAAGTTGCGCGGAAATTATGCTGGGGGGTTGATTGGTCCAAAATTGAAATTAGTTTTAGAAAATTTGGGGTACGTACTAAAACATGTTTTTTATATTACTACGATGATAAGATACCGTATTAAAAAAGAAAATAATTGTTTTTTTTAGGTATGCAACTGATGATAATCCAAATCCATACAAACCCACCCCTCTTTAATTTAATCACATGATGCGTCATCGGGACACCCCTAACTCCGGACGAAAAGTTCAAATACAATTTTTTTTTTCATATTGTTCTCATTCATCCACGATTCTTACGAAATGTTTTACATAAGTTGCATAAATATTTACTTCTTACATTTGTATTTTTGATGTATTTATAATTATTTGAATAAAATCTGCAGGAACAATCTATTCAATCTATTCTTTTTTCATTTTCCTTTTTTTTTTTAAAAAAAAAATAATCTACCCTTTCTTTATCTTTCCTTTTTTAAAAGAACCCAGTCCAGTGGCTGTGCCACAACTTGTTTGCCCTATCTTGCAATATTTGATACACAACATTTAAATCTGTATCCACACAAATAAATCATATCTGTTAATTTTAAGGGGTTATCGCGAAGATCCTATATTTACAAGTATAAATTTCGCAAAAGAATGAAGAATGAACGCCCATTGAAAATATATCTTATCGTCTGGTTGTTAGTCAGTTAAAAAAAAGTTAACTGGAAAAAAGATTGCGTTACATGCGAAACATACATGTACATGTCAATGTGGAATTCATTAATTTTTGTCATCAAATGTAGATTCGCCAAATCAAGGTTTCTTACGTAACCGAAAAGTTTTCTGATGCTTCAAATTTAATCTCCCAGGAATGTATGTAAAAGTGAAGCAGTCGAAAAAATTTATAATAAATTCACGTGATTTACATTCCTTATAATATAAAAAGAAAATTTAAACCTTGTCAAATAAATAATTTGAAATTTTATTAAAAAATTTAATACAATAAACTTTATGTTTCCAATATTTAAATTACTATAGATCTCTATTTATACGCTTTAAATGTACAGGAAATACTGTAAATGTGGAAATATTATGCGCAGATTTATTCCCAATGAATTGATAATTTAATTTTCCGAGATATAAAATCAGAAATGGTGAAAAGTAAAATTGCTTTCTATCTAGATTTTACAATCATAATATAAAAAAATCATGTGTTTTTTTTTAAAATCATCTCAATAATCATTTAAAACTGTAATTAAATCCCTCAATATTTAAATTTAAAGTACCAGCTAATGCAACTCATTATGATTTTTTGTTTACAAGTTAAAGAAAATTATGACCATAAAATTTTTTTTTTGTTTGCGAAGGATATCGATATACATTGCATCATAAACTTATCTATAATATATAATTTTTTTTTGAAATGATCGTATTTGAATTTTAGAATGTCCCAAAAGAATTGTCATTTCCTTAAGCTTTTTAATGAATTCAACGTAATTAAATAATAAAGGTTTTAAAGTCGGAGTTGGGATGATGATTCCATTCTCTTGTAACAAAAGTTTCGATTCATTTGGAAGGCAAGCGTAGAAGGTTTTGTAATTTAATATTGTTCTACAAAGAATCCGTACTGAAATATTACACCAAAATTGATTTACTAATAAGCATGATAGTAAAAACTGCCAATCAATAAACTCGAAAATCATTTCTAAACATTCCTGAGATTCTTGAGGAATTGAGGGGTCATTTTGAATGGATTTAATAAAATTTTGCATAAAAAAGATGGGATTTATATAAAGTTATTTTTTGTTCTTTTTTCTTTGGATTTCGTGATATTTTTTTTAAAAAAAAGGAAGCAAATTTTATGTCCTTAAATAAAAAATTTTGACAAACTATATTATTAATCCAAAAAAAATAATACTTTTACCGGACCTAAAATAGCAATGAGGCGCTTTTTTCATTCAAAAAATTTCCTGTAATATTTATTATATTCAGCCTCAAAAAAAATAAATTAAGCTTATTTCAAAAGTTGATCTTTCAAACATTACCAAAAATTGCGGAAAGAGATTAACCAAATATAGCAATCTTTCAAAGTGAAATGTTGGCTCGCAGGACATCACATATCAATATATCTGATATACTCTTGAAATTACCCAAGTAAAGCAGCGCAATGACCCATTAATTTCTTTTGCGTACGTGGCCTTATCATTTTCATTGAATTGATTTTATTAGAAATTTATAAGATTGAATTTAACGAAGAGATGTGGTTCAATTAATCTGCGTATATTATGGGAGGTGGGAAAAATCCAAAAATTTATAATTAAACTAATTTTGTATACTGAGATAAGTCTAGTGGTTTATTTTTTTAATTTTCAATATTTCTATAGCATTTGCCAAGATAATAAACCCAAAGACGTTTTTTATTTCTTTTTAAAATCAAATTTATTAAGAGTCATAATCCATTATGAATTCGATCATCCTAGAATGTAAATTAAAAATCCTCAAGCATATTAAATGACTCTGTTTTTCTTGATAAAATCGATTTATAGTACATATTCCATTATAAAGTGAATTTTCTTTATATTCCTATTTACCCCCTTTTCTACTAACTGTCTCCCATATAATTTTAAAGTTTCTACACAAGGACGATTATATGATTCTTTAATAGTAGACGATTTCATATCTTTTTTGTATAATTCAGAAAGTGAAGCACTTTCTAGACTGGTTAACTTTTTCTTTAATTCATTTATAAAAGTATTGTTTTTGAGTATAACAGTTCGGAAGCTTTTTAAAATTATTCATTTTAAAATAAAGAGAAATAATTTGGATACATTTACAGTATATTTATAGATCAATCTATTCTATTAAGCTTTATAATTGTGGATGAATCGGATATGATTGGCTACCACATTTAATTAAATTACAGATACTTATTTATTTTATGATAATGTATTAAAAAAATAAAAAAAATCTAATATTCCTAAATTCTAATGTAAATTTTAAGTACAAAATATTTTATTAACTTTTTTTTATATTAGATCCTTATACACCTTCATTAAATAGCATTCAAAATAATTCTACATAAATTTAAAATGCATTGGATAATTAGCATATAAATACACAAATTTACACAATCAAAAAACTAAATATTCTTTATATTAAAATGCTCTTTAATCTTTACTATTCATCTTTAAAATTAAGAAATACATCAAAAATAGCATATTGATAATGATGATTTTACACTTATGAATACATTATACACTTAAAATTTTATTACCTTGCCCTCATATTAGTTAAGAAACATATTACATATTTATTAGTATTTACAGTATTATTTTAATGTGGTATTTAATAATCAAGTGTGATCGAAGTGTGATTTGTATCTAAATGAGATTCAAAGTGGTTAAACAGCAAATATACTGTGTTGCTTCTAGTAAAGGACTTCGAGATTATAGTATAGAGTCTGTTTATTGGAATAAAAAAAAGTTTTTTTAAAAAATTTTATAAAAAAATTGTCATCAGCTGACCTACAAATACTTTCAAAGGGTTATCTTTAAAGAAAGTTATCCACATAATTTTGCGGATCGATCCATATACATATAAATGATTGAAATTTTTAAAATGGAAATCTCAATCAAATAAACAACAATTATTATGTCACCTTATGCATGTGCTAGTCTAAATTTGAAAATTATTATAATAAATTTAGGAATTCCTTAGAGGAAAAAAAGTTCTCATTATATTATAGCATGCCAATTTTGAAATTTGAAAAATCTTTTAAATCCCTCTTAAAATTGTTTTATTAAAAAAAAAAAAATAAAAATAAAAAAATGGATATTTCTATTGATCATCCAGAATCAGCCGGTATGTTGAGAAAAAAAGTTAAATAATTGAAATAATTTGAAACGTTTATTTAGTGGAACTCATCTTGCAATTTAGAACCCGTAACGTTCGCATATGTTGCCACGTTCCTTCTCGTTTTGGGAGGATTTATATCAATCTTGAGCGTGTATATTGTCGGAGTTATCAAGAACAAGAACGTAAGATTTATTTAATAAAAAAACAAAAAACTTTTCATTAATAAAATCAAAACAACCAATAATATCTTTTCCATCTTCTAGAACAATAATTTTGTAATGTTTAACACTTTGTTGATATCTTATGATTGGATTTTCGATATTATTTTTACAATATGGTGTTTTGCATCTCGCCTGAGATATGGTGTTCCCATAGTCAGGTAATACATCAATCTACTCCATCCTAATAAATGAATAACAAAAATTAATCCAATGTTTTTTTTCATAGCTTATCACTTCTGACTATTGTGATAGTCGTCAATTTTTTTCTCACATTCACTATATTAAGTCGAGAAATTAACAAAAATGAGCAATTTCGAATATGGTTTCAAGAACATAAAGCTTTTGGTATATTGATTGCATTTTTTTCATTAGGTAATACGACCGTATTACACGTGTTAAATTGTGGATTTAATAATATGGACAAGTTTAATGCGGCTTTATCTACAACTGCTGAGAAGAAGATAATTCATGCTAGCGTATTAGGCTTAATTGTTGGAGATCTTTTTCAATTCTTTCTTCTGGTGAGCATCTAATTCCCTTTCCAAAGTAACTTCTTTTTTTTTTAACTAATTTTTATTTTCGTTAATTATAGATGTCGGTCAACTCCAAATTAAAATATTTTCATATAATTCCTATTACATCTATGTCTCTCAATTTATTAGTACTCTTCTTTGGATTTTTTTATAGACTTTATGAAGCTTTAATTAGAGGATATGAAAAGCCGACCGTTATTGCTAACAGAAAACAATTAGAATCAGAAGCATGATTAAATACTTTTGATTGCAAGTAAAATAAACAATATCTATAGTTTTGAGTTTTTTTTTTTTTTTTATAAATAAATCTTTTTTGTAAAGAAATTGTTTAAAATTTTGTAAATGATAACATATTATTAGATTGGTATAAAAATAAAAAAATAATTCTAAATTAAATAAATTGAAATATATAAGATGTACCTCTATCGTTATATAATAATTATATTATTAATTACAACTTTAAATTATGACTTTATAAAAAAATGTCGTTAATAAGTAAAATTTTTTTAACTTTTAAGAAATCATAACAATAATTAAATTTAACTCGATTTAAGCACTTCAATGTAAATTAATTCTTCCACAATGGATAGGAATGATGGAATTTTTTGAGTCTGTTCTCGCTCAAGTATGCTTGAGAAATTTACCAGGTAAAACGGAAATTTTATCGGATATTTTCTAAATTCGGTCGCACCAGATTTTTTATCATATTTATTTATATTTTGATTAATTTTGCCAAATATTACTGTGGTATTCTATGGAAACGATTTCTGTTTGGTACATAACGGTCGTGAAAATGATTAATTTGACATAACTCTGCTCTGCGGAGAACAGATTATATTTTATTCAGGCCAATAACACTTTCATTAACTCGATACCATCGACAGCTTTTCCGGTACCAGACGGTCCTTCAATTAAAACAATTTCACATGTCAAAGCAGAAATTAATGCTTCCGCTAAAATAAAATTTTAATATACATATGTAAAGTTGAATAAATCACACATCTAAATAATTCTAGCATTTAGTATAATATTTGTTTCTAAACATTCAATAGATTTGTAATTTGCTTTATAATATGTAAAGTTCGCGTATTGGCGCGTGTATTGTTTAGTCAGCAAGATGAATAAAACGAACTATCATTCCAAATCAATATTAAATTCATCCATCATTCAAATAATCTAATTTATAAAAAGGTATGATAAATGTGATAAATTTGGATATAATTTTTAAAACATTTCAATCACTTTATCTTTTTTTGAAATAATTCTTGCTTGCATTTCTGCATTTGCAATATTTTAATTTAAACTAAGAAATTTTTACAATAATTTATTAAAAAAATGAACGTCTATTTTTGAAAGGAATAAAATTTACAAAATATATATGTAATCTACCGAGAAGGACAATAATAAATAAATTGTTTAATCAATCCAACAACACGATTTGTCTCGTAAAAAATATAATCATTAAGATTTATCCCAAAACAAACACAAACAGTTCATAATATAAAGTATTTATATGACAAATATGATATGTAAATGAATAGGTGTTCTCATTATAAATTAATAGGAATATCTTAATGAGAATGATTAAGAGGAACAAAATAACATTATAAAAGTCTTCGACTATTTCAAGCATACAAAGTAATATAAGAATGGTATTTATGATAAAACAAGTAAATTTAATAGTGAAAATGTATAAAGCCGTGAAAGGAGTGGAGATTAATTTCACGATATAGATAAATTTATTTTCTTAATAGAGAAATATATTTCAATGATATAGCCGATATAAATTTAATTGCTGTAATAAATTAGGCTAAGAATGAATATGGTATAATTATTAAAACACGAAATAATAAAATTAAAAAGAAATCTAACGTTTAGTATAAATGATTCAAAAAATATAATTTGTGTAATTGTAATTATATTGGAACAAAAATTCCAAAAAGCTCTTGTAAAATTCAAAACACTATTAAATGATAAGTAATTGAAAGAATAAATTTAAATGAATGATAGCCGCCACGGAAGAAATTGTAATTAATGGAAATATGAGTGTGATAAGAATACAATATACAAAAAATAACAACATACAAAATATAACAGGAAAAGTTAAAAAAGAATAAACCCTTTCTCTTAAGTCCTATTCTTTTGAAAAACGAACAAGCAAATATAACTGGTATATTGAAGGAAAACATCAAATTAGTGTTGTAAACAGGTTTGGGATTAGGCGTAATATTAGTATCGGTAAAAATAAAATACAGTATGAATTAAGAAGAATCAATATTGCAAGAAATGCAAGTTTTGGAATTATTAAGGTCAATTTTTTTAAAAAAAGGTAATTATTGTCAAGAAATTTTTTTTTTTTTATGCAAACAACGGTCATTGTCAAAAATAATTGCTTTTAATAATCAGTTTTTTTTTTTTAAAGTTCAACCAATATTCCTTTTAATTTTTTATTTTGTTAAATGATCTTTGTTTTTTCTTTCAACATTAAATTTACTTAAATTGATATACCAATTTATATATTGTGTCTAATCCCAAATTTAATAACGACAATAACGACGCTGATATGGTATTTTCCATCAATTTATTTTCACGGAGATTTAAGGATAAGAATTTATTTATTCTTCCTTTCGCCAGTGATAATTATTTTTTACATCCCTACTTGCATCTTACTTTTCATTGGTTGTGTCGTTCCGATTATAATAGTTATAAAAAAGCCGTAATATTCGGTTCATTAACGACAGCATTAAAATTTTGATCGATTCGTTATTGTTTAAACCATTCAAGGAGCCCATATCATTCATCAAATCCTTTTGGCATTTCAATTCGATTAAAATCTCAGAAAAAGCTCGACATTATAAATTCAATAATTTACAACTTAACTTTCAAAGGATGATCCGCTTCACTCATTTTAACCTTCATTCTAATAATAATACGTGGGTTTTTCTTTGTAATGCTACAATTCCTTCCTAATCGGGTTTATGGGTCGTTCCAATTCTTTATTCTTTCGTCCTCGTTGGAGCTTTTGTTATTACTTCACCTTACAATTACCATTTCATCCACCGTAATGTTTATCATGATATTTGAAATTTATAATGATGGTGAGTGTTATGATGTCAAAGGTTTTTATGAAGTGATGTACTTTTTCTGGACAATTTTTATCAAACCATTCCTTTTATTTGATGAAATCATCGGGATACAAATAGATGGGACATCAAAGCATAAAAAATTTTCTTTTTTTTTTATTATTTTTGAAACAGATTTTGATTGAATCTCGGCCATGTAAAAAAAATTAAACAAAAAAAATTTATTTAAAGTAATGTTTATATAATGCCAACACTAGACAGTGTACCAATGTTGACCGGAAAAGAAAATAACATAATTTAAAAAACCAGTCCGTCGAATTAAATACAATAACTTTATCACAATCAAGCCTATGTGAAGCCACGGAAAAGGTAATAGCAAAATGAATAACAAATTATCTTTTATAGATCTCTTGGTTTTTATCTCAAAACCCTATCTCGAGTTATCTTTCAACTTATGGAAAAGTACATGATATTTATATAAAATAAACTACGTAAAAAATATGTCCCTAGTAATATAAAGATAGATTATGATAAATAAAATAACTAATATAACAAATAATATAACTAGGTATTCTTAGTCGACCAAAAGTAGTTTCCAATATCGCTTATTGAACATTTGAACCCAAATGTAAAATTGTTTTTAGACCACCTGAAAGATCTAATGCAAAATATTGCATTATAATAAAAAATTCTTGTGTGTTATTCCATAATATTTATTTATAATACTAATAAATCTTCGGATGATAACTAGTGTCGTCTCTTCCAATTTTAAGAAACTGTATTGAAATAAAAAATTATTAAATTAATCTATCTTTCATTTATAAATATTTTTGGAAAATAAAATATAGAGTTACGAACCTCAAGATTTGTTTTTTTAGAATTGGAAAGTTTCTTGAGAGCAATACAATTTGTATTGTTAATTATTCGTTCCATTTTGATAAGAATTTTTTATTTGTTATTTTATTTTTAAAAGTTTTCCGAAATAAAAAAAAATTTTTAATTTTCTGGGGAATTTTCGAAATGGTCTGTATATATATTGCTAACCGGTTAATTTTTACCCGATTAACAAGTTATTAACCAGTTTAAAGTGGCTTGTACATTTGAAATTTTTTTTTCATGTGACAAACAAATTACCTTTTTCTATGCACCCCCTAAAAGTTTAAATTGAACAATCAAATTCACAAGCTTGCGAAATAATTTTGTTTTTTTTAATAATAAATGACATTTATTATGTCTGATGATGTAAGTTGTGACTAATTAATAATTTTGTGAGTTGTTTAACGAGAAAATCATAAAATAATTTATCTATAATTGGATAAAGTCGGAACATTTAGGGTAAGAATCTTCATTCTTGTCATTTGAATTTGGTGGTAAATGATGATGGTATTTATTTGTGAAATTCTTTCTTAAATAGAAATCTATATTCTTTGAAAACTTGATTTGAGATGCATTTTATCTTTAATTGTTTGTGGCTTCACCTTTCACCTTATTATTATTATTCAATAAAGGATATACTGACAAGAAAAAGAATGAAAACAAGGAAAAAATTTTTTCGTGTATATTTTCAAATTAACATTAAATGTGGCAAAGCAAAAGTTTGACGCAGTATATCAAAACTTGCGCAATTTAATACTGTACATCAAAAAATAAAAATTATTACAATGCGCTGATGAAATAAATCTTTTGATCATAGGACGGAGTGGAATACTATGAAAATTATGTATATCGGTAAGTTTGAATCGCTTTATTCCATTGCTAATCTCTCGAATTTACGCTGTAATTACTTAATATCCGAAAGTTCTCTTGCGGAACTTAGTTAAAATCGATACTTTCTAATAACTTATTTGGATGGGAGTGATTTAGATTGACGAAAATTTAGGGTGTGGGAATCTCGTAATCGTAAAAAAATTATATTTATTGATGATCAATTAAATCATCAGACACACGTAATGCGTAATGATAATGAATCAAATTTTGTTATATTATAGTCTATTAAAAATCTGATATAAAAGGTTTATTAAAAGCTTAAAGATCTGATAAGAATAATTGTTTCCTATTTTCTTTCTTAAATGAATATTTTCAAAATGTCTACAGTACCTAATCTGGATAAAATATAATAAAGGAAGGCCAACAGAAATAGATTTTCAGGG